AAATAAAGGCAAACATAAAAACAACGCAAATTCACCCAAAACACGGCGTGGACACACCGGAGTAGCGTCGAAGACTCATGCAACACAAGGGAACGCCTACACACCGCTGCCGCGCAACGACATCCACAGGATGACCTGCTCCACAGGAATGCTTGGCTTCAACGACAGCAGCACTTTGAAGATGCCATTTTCAAGTGCGTCTCTGTTGTTGCCACGCGTCAGCAAAAGCACCCGCACAAGCAGGACGGCCTCAACGTCGCCACCAAGCAGCCGCTTTAGGTTCTCGGTCTCTGCCCTGTCGCCGATGCCACGGTCCAGCACGTGCAGCAGCTGCTCCGCCGCCACCCCATTGGGCTCTGGCGCAGCAACCTCTTCCGCGGCAGCGGGCACAACGGGCGCGGCACGCGGCACGACATTCCTCTCCGGCGTTCCCTTCCGCGGGCGCGACGGTGTGTGCGGGCGCGATGGTGTGTGCGGGCGCGACGGCGTCCGGCGAACCGGCGAGATGCGACGTGGTGGGGAGTTGCCCTCGCCCCGCATTGGCGACACCCTCGCCACCTCGCCGCAGACAGGGATGCCCTTCGTCCGCACGTAGCTCGTGAGGCGCGTGGAGAAGCCAGTCAGCACCTCGTACGCCGTCGGGCGCCCCTTCTCCTCCTTGCAAAGGCACGACCCCACCACGCGCACAAGACAGCTGTCGTAGCGGCCCTCCGCCACGCGGCGCAGTCGCGGCATTGGGTCGGAGTGCAGTATCGCGTGGAACGACTGGCGCTCCGTGAAGTTCTTCTCCCAGAACGGCCGCTGCTGCGTCATGAGCTCAAAAAACGTCACACCCGCGGAGAACATGTCCGCCTTGGTGGTGTACCCCTCACCAGACACAATCTCCGGCGAACAGTAGCACGGCGTGCCGACGCGTGTCTTGGCCAGCTCCACCGTACGCTCCAGCGGGCGCGCCAGCCCGTAGTCGCCCACTAGGGCCTTGGCCACGCCGCCGCCGTTAGTCTCGCCACGCACAAGAAAAAGGTTCGCCGGCTTGACGTCGCGGTGAATGATGCGGTGCGCGTGGCTGTGGTTCAGTGCCGAGAAGATCTGTAGCATGATCATCATCACCATGTCCTTTGGCACGTACTCGCCCTTCCTCTGGTAATCGCAAATCAAGTCGTGCAGGTCGCCACCGTCGCAATACGTCATGGCAAGACACACACTCCCGCTGTGCTCCCCGGAGCCCACCTCCACCCAGGCGCCCACGTAGCTCACAATGAACGGGTGCTTCAGCAACCGGACCGCATTGATCTCCTTCAGAACCGTCGCGGCATAGCCAGGGGGGCACACGTCTTTCTGCATCACCTTCACCACAAACCGCGACGGGTACCGAAACTGGTTCGTCACGGCCGACTGATCCACAGGGGCGGCAAGATACACGCGCCCGTTCGCGCCGGACCCAATCAGCTGGGCAAGCTCCACCTCCCGCCCCAGTATGTACCTTTCGCGCGGCGTCCCCATCCGGCACCCACGCACACCCTCTCCCTCTATATATGTATATATGTATATATATGTCTCTGTGTTTCTCCCGTAAGGCGGTAACCTTGCAGTCTCCTACTTCAATTGCCGGTCTTTAGCGGAAGCACTAATTACGCTTGAGGTGTGTGGCGCGCCCTAACTGAGACGTCCGCAAACAAACAGCAAGGAGCAGCCACCAACGTGAGCGCGCACTTCACGCAGACAAAGCACAGCAGCAAACACACACACGGAGAAGGGGAAAACAACGGACAGAAAGAAAAGGCCGCCCTTGCGACGGTAAAACGCACCGTCACAGCAACGGATCCAGCACTGCAAACGCACGCTCACCCAGCAAGCCGCCGCGACGCCGCACAGACGGTAGGAAGCCACCAACGATGTAACTCGCAAGGTTCAGCGTGCGCTCCACCACTGTTCGTCGTCGCAAAACGCGCTCCTCCAACAGCAAACGCCGCACACCAGACATCCATCGCCCGCACAGGGGATGCCGCACAAAGCAGAGAGTCCCCCATTCATCTGCCACAGCTGCGTACTCACGCGAAGAAGTGGCTCCACCACCGCCACCAAAGCCTGTAGGA